CTACCAGACTTGTAACAAAATGAAAAAATATCTGAGGATATTGCTCAGAGATTGAACAAATTTAGAAAAAAATGAACAATATTCAATCTTTCTCCAGATATCTGGTTATCAATTTCTTTCACATGCCCTCGACTTCCGATAGTTTGTGCTTGATTTGGCCTTTCGAGTTACGCAATTAATTAAGGGTTAATTAATTACTCAGCCAAGATCCTTTATCAAGAACATTGGGCAACTCATCTTGAAGAAGAATTGCTTTACTTGATCACTTTGATTTTGAGAATGACAATAGTTTTGACATCTTGATCCGTCGAATATCAAGAATTTACAAAATATAACTCTTAAACGGAATATGTGTCTTTCTTTTTTATTATTATAAATGTGAGCTAGGGTGATTTTAAAGAAACTCTTGATGAATTTTTTTAGTGTGAAAGTTATGAATTGAACTTGTCTTGTTTAAATATCTCAGAGAAATTACAACAACAATATTATTAGAAAACTAACATATTTTGTTTTGCAGTTCTGCAAAAATTGAGTTTGGTAAAATTGTTTTTAAATTTTCAAATTAAATTTGTTTGGAGCTATTAAAAAATAACTGTTTGAGAATTACCAAAACCAGCTTTTATTTTTAAAACAAAAAAACAAAATAAAATTCTGCAGATCTCTATTTAAAAAAGTTGTCAACAAACGACACCTTAAACTTCGTCAACATTCCAATAAGGTAAGGCTCATAAATACCGGACCTTAAAAAGACTTTGCACATGCGAGAAGGTAAAGCGTGAGAACTTGGTTAATAATAATAACAGAGGCGAAGGGCACACAAACGGAAAAGTCAATCCACCATCACAGAGAACAAGAAAATCCCTAAATGGCGACGGCAATGTTCAGATCTAGTATTCGCTCCGCCCTCCGCGGCCGCGCTCCTCGTGTAACGCCGGCTCCCAAGAGGACTTTCTCTTCTCACGCCTCCGTCGAAGAAGAGGCCCGTATGTAATCTTTATTCATTCTCAATTTGGATTAGGGTTTGCTTGCATTAAATCCGATTTCTAATCCTTAATCTACACCTCTCTGTTTTCTTGATGCGTTTCTCTAGATCTTGTGTTGCGTGCATATTGTATTTACATTTTCTTGAAATAGGACAAGTCATTAGTATAAAATGGGCCTGAGCGGAATTGATATAACGATCCGAACTAGTGTGGGATTGAGGCATAGTAGGTTCGTTTTTCTTGAAGTGATTAAATTGAACGTGTATCTTCGATTTCTGTTGCCAGGGGAAGCTTCTAAATGGGAGAAAATCACTTACGTTGCAATAATATCCAGCACTATTCTTGCAGTGGTTAATCTCTCCAAGGGTCATCCTCACAGTGAAGAGCCTCCTGTAAGCTTTGTCAATGAATTTGTTTTACTCTCTTTGATGCCAATAATCTTAGTTTTCTTTTTTTTGTATTCAAAAGTATGTTCACGTGTCTATCTATCCATTTTCAGATGCAGATGTTAGGTTAATTTTAGAAATTCTTATTGGTTTTGTCTATCAGAGGTTATGCACTTGTTTCTTTTCAAGTAGTGGAAATAATTGTTTGATCCTTCATTCCACATAATACCTAAAAGCAATGTTCACGTGTCTATCTATCCATTTTCAGATGCAGATGTTAGGTTAGTTTTGGAAATTCTTATTGGTTTTGTCTATCAGAGGTTATGCACTTGTTTCTTTTCAAGTAGTGGAAATAATTGTTTGATCCTTCATTCCACATAATACCTAAAAGCAGGATAAATAAGTGCAATGTGTAGAAATATATCACATATTCATAATGAACGGTCATAAACAAGGTTTAAGCAGCTGGGAAATTTTACCAACACTATTGCAAGGGAGATGTTTTAAGTGTTTAACATATTATATTCAAATTTCAAGAGGAGAATTGTGACAGAACTCTTTTTCTTTATAACTTCATGATGAAGAATCTCATTCATTTCCTGAGAAAATAAAATACTATGAATAAGCTTGTGTGTGCTTGAGATACTTATAATTAAGAAAGTAATTAAAATTTAAATAACTATTGAACCAAGATATGAATCAACAATAGAAGACAGAGTGCATCAATATATTAGAGGTGGAAGGAGTAGGAAACACTAAGGAAGGAGTGGCAGTTAGAGAATAGGAGGACATCAATATATTTGGTAAAATTTCCATTAGTTTCTTGATAGGTCAATGTAAAGGGTAAAGTATTTATGTGATAATTGACTTATGTTTTATATAAGTGGTCGTTGAAGAAAATATTTAAATAGTAGTTGAGAAGGCTTAATGACGGAAGATAGTTCTTATGTTTTAATTTGAATTCTTGAACCAATGGAGGAGTTATAGGACTATTATTATGAATGGTTTGATCATTTTTGTGATGTCCCAAAATGGAATTCATATAATTGGACTGGAAATGAGTAGTAAGGGAGTTTTGAAGAATTAGTCATCGTATAGAAACGTTTACTAAAAGCTGGACTTTTGAGAAGCCAACATCTAATTTCAATCCTTGGCATTTTGGCTATTTTGAGATTGCATGGAGGGGAATGTATTGATTTTTTTCAAAATGATAGTAACACGAGTGAAGTGTCTCAATCTATTTACTTCAAGATGACACCATGGAAGATTGTTTTGATGTTACATCTAATTTTTATGTCCTTCTGCTTGCAGGCTTACCCATACTTGCACATTCGCAACAAGGAGTTTCCATGGGGTAATTATGTGAAAAGTCATTTTCTGATTTTCTCTCTCAATAATTTCATGTTTACGGACTCATGCTTGGTGGTTTGGCTGTATCTGACCTTTGATGGTAGCAATGCCGTTACCAGCATTCAGCACTTGTTTGATAAGAATAGTTTTACTGATGTATTACCTTTTTTTTTTTTTTTTCCTATTGGGGTTAAAAAATGTTGCAGCGTGCTTTCAATGGTACTGAAGGGGTTGGCAATGTTCTCCTTATTGAATACCTGATAGTAGTGCGGCTGGTTTTACATGATCCTTTTTCCCCTTGGAAAATGATGCTAAAGGTTTAAGTAATTGAGCATAAGAACATTATATGTTATTATGTTAGTGTATTATATGCATCATTTGGAATAAAGTTAGCAGGAAGAAAATTGCTTGACTCTTAGAACTAGGTACAGAAACTGCAATTATTCCCTTGATGTCCCCTAATCTATTTTGGAATTGATGATATTTGCTGCAATAGTTAAGAGGCAGGTAATTCGTTTCAACCCATATAATTATGTGGCCTGGTGGTGTTGGCAACTTGGGCAGATAATGCAATGAGTGTATTTCTCTTCTAGTTTAGTCTGTTGTGAAAAGAAAGTCAGAAGTTGAAATCAGAATTTTCATGTTCTGCTGCATATGCTTTTATCTGTTGTTTTGCTGGTTGATATTCAAAAGCTTCGAGTGCCTGTGCTAAAGGCCTCATTTTTAGTGTAAACATGATGTTGCATATTTGTATTATTTTAATTGTTAATTCAGGGCCCATAGCATGTTGTTGTACACTTTCTAGGATATACTTATTTCTGATGTTGAAATTTCCATGTTTGCCATATTTTGTGCATGCATTTAGATCTGCTACCTGCTTAGGCAATGTTGTAATACCATTTTCTCTGGCCTTTGGTGAATGCAGGTCCAGATGGCCTTTTTGAGTCCAAGCACCATTGAAACTGCACGGTTTCTCTGTGAAGGCATTTAAATAATTCCTGTCCATCTGCGAGTATCATCATCACATTTGTTGTGTGAAAGCTGTTGAATTTTCATGAGATGTCTTCTGTTGGTTCTTTTCAGTATAAGTAACTATTGCCTTCACTTTGGCGTATCTGTATTTTGCAGTATACTCTTGCTTCTTACAAAGTGATTTTTAAAGAAATAAGAATTGAGGGATGATTAAGTCATACCAGTTATTCTTTTCAACATAGTTACTCTTAAATGTCCCATTCTGAATGTCTTAATGCATTTGTATCATCTACTTGAGATATTATTGACATATGGGGTTATATTTCTTCATCTTTTCATTTGGGGTCTGATTAAATATGGATTTGTGCCGTGAAGTCCCTCATTGGGGGTAAATCACTCCCTGTCTTAAGCATCTTTGTGCCAAGGGGGGATTCGTGCTTATTGGTACAATATAAGGGATGGATGTGATTATTTTGGCTGACCAAGCCCTCCGTTGAATGTGCTACAATACCCTCTTTGCCAAAAAGATTCTGATAACTAGTTTAATATCTCAAATAGTACCACTAGTAACAGATGTGGCATTGTCAAAAAAATTGCTAACCAGTGTTAAGAGTTTCAGTGACAGATGTGGTTTGTAATGCTCAAGGACGGTCTTTGGTGACCATTACTTTACTATGTCCTGTAATCTTTTCCTGGGAAATTCATTTAGGTGACATTTGGGAGTAGTTTGAAAAAAAAAAATCCACATAAAATGCAGAATATTTTGAATTTTTCTTTTTTCACTTAACACTTGACATAAATCATTGCAAGGTTTGATTTGAAATTTCATATAAGCATAACTAATAGCCCAATATGTTGATCTTGAATGAATGTGTTAATTTATGATGGATAGAATGTGGAATAAGAATACGGGGATTAATCTATGCATAACTTAGGAAATATTTAGGAGGAGAGATCTTTTCCGCGGCTTAGTTTTTAGTACCACCTCTGCATCTCTATTTAAACGCATAAATAGAAAATTTAAAATCTGTAAGGATGAAGAATTTTAAAATTGACAATCTTCCGAGTCTTCTATTTAATGGGACGACGAATCTCTATGATTTATAACAGCCACCAATCAAATGAGAAAAACGACATTACCATTTTGTAGAAGTCAATTTGTCTTGCTTGTTAGAGGTATTTACAAGAAAGTGTCAACCGATCTTTTTTTTCCTCATATACTACTCTACCCTTATAATGGTGAGAAGCACCTTATGCTTCAATGATTATAATTGGCTAATCAGATGCTTTTGGCAATATGTTCCAAAGATGAAGAAAACCTTTATCATTAATAATGCACGAAAAATTGCATGTTTAGACATGCAGATACACGTTTATGGGATAGAGATGAACAAGTAACTGAGTTCTGCCCAACATCAATCTATATATTTGTCGCATGATGGCTCTTCGGAATCGACAGGCAAGCAAACCGAAGTTATCTCACTTTCATATTTGCCTTAAAAGACTTTGAAAAAGGCAGCAAGAAGAAAGAATGTGAATACAACCTTGGCGTAAAAATAGTACTACTACTACGTATCTATGTTACTCTGCTGTAGCTTCTTCATGACTGTTCCCCTCGCTTCCTGTCTGTGGCAATGTTCCCAGATCAGTACGAGCCTCTGTCTGTTCTCGAGGAATCGCATAATCTGTCGACTCGACTTGTTTTTGTTGGTTATCATCAGGTTTGTTATTTGAGGTGGAAGAATCAGTTAATTTGGGGTCTGTCTCATCATTGTCATTTGAGGGATTTATTTTGTGAGAGCCTGTATCAGAATTAGTATCTGATTTCTGGTTCGCCTCATTTTGATCATTCCCACCTCCTGTTGACTTCTCAGTTGCACCAGCTGTTACAGAGTTTCCATTTTGGTCAACTGTATCAGACCCCTTTGAACTTGTTACTGATTCTTCATCTGCCGAGGAATTTGAATCTTTTTTCTCAGACTGCTGCTCATTTGGATCGTTCTGTGTGCCATCTCCGACAGAAACAGCTTCCTTAATTGAGTTGTTCTCATTTTGTGTGGTTTGAGAGGCAGAACTGTCATTTTCCTGCTGCTGTTTGTTGGCATCATTGGTTCTTTCTGCAAGATTGGAGTCCTCGCCGGAGTTGTTCTCATTTTGTGTAGTATGAGCGACAGAACTTTCATTTTCCTGCTGCTGTTTGTTGGCTTCATTGGTTCCTTCTGCAAGATTGGAGTCTTCACCAGAGTTCTTCTCATTGTGTTTGGTATCAGAAACAGAACTTTCCTGTTCCTGCTGCTGCTTATTGACATCATTGGTTTCTGCTGCCAGATTGGAGTCATTACTAGAGTTGTTCTCATTTCCTTGCTGATGTTCATTAGCTTTGTTGGTTCCTACTGCATGATCTGAGTTATCACTAGAGTTATTCTCATTTTGTATGGTATGAGATGCGGAGTTATCATTTTCTTGCTGATGTTCATTGGCTTCATTTGTTCCTGCTTGATTGGAGTTATCATTACTGTTGTTTTCATTTTGAATGGTTTCAGAGGCAGAATTGTCAGTTTCTGTCTGCTGGCTAGTGGCTTCATTGTTTCCTGCTGCAGCATTAGAACTGCCCTCAGTGTTGCTTTCATTACTCACTTCTCCAACAGAATTTGTATCTGCAGAGCTATTTTGTTCAAGCATCTTATTTTCTCCAGCATCTGAATCCAACTTATTTTTCTTTTCTTGCAACTCATCTACTCCCTTCTTGGATTCCTCCTCATTATTCAAGGCTACATTACCATCTCCTTCTGTACCAGTCATGTTTTCAGAATCTGAAGTTTCTTTGACCAATGACCTCTCTTCCTTGCCACTTTCCACTGTTGAAGCCTCATTAGTCGTATCAATCTCATCATGAACCTTATCTTCTGATGAGCCAGATTCTTCAGTTTTGCCTTGTTTCTCTTCCTTCTCTTTGCTGGCTTCATCAATCTCTCTGCTGTATCCCTCATTCTTCTCTTCTCTGCTCTCGTTATTCTCTTTTACTTTCCCTTCATTACTTTCTTCCAATTCCACCGACTTCTTGTCACTTTCATTTTCAACTACTTCTTCACTTCTATTTATAGAGGTTTCTTCACTTCCACCCTCTTCACTTTGTGCCTTCTCTTCTTTCAAATCAGTTCCCGCATCAACATTTCCCTCAGTTCCCTTCTCTTCACTTTCACTGTCATTGTTCTCTTTAACATCCTTAACTTCCTTTTCTAATCCCTGATCCTTAGTTTCTTCACCCTCAATGTCACTTTGCTTTACCTGATCTTTTTCACTATCTTCTTCTCTGGTTTCATTAGTTTCACTGTTGTTGGTATTCGTGTCAGTGGCTTCCTCATTACTCTCACCTTTGCCATCTTCAGTGTTCTCTTTGCTTTCTGCTTCAACATTTGCTCCACCCACTTCTTTCTCCTGGATTTTTTCTGTCCCTATATCCTCATCCACTGAATCCCCTTTATGCTCACTATCCTCCGCTGATTTTTCTAGATCATGGTCATGCTCCTCCACTTTGGTGTCATCATCAAAACGCTTAAGCTCATCTTCCTCTGTCACCTCCTTCAGCTTCTCATCATCAATATCTACTTCCTTCTTTTGAGGTAGGAGGTCCTTCCTTCCAAACCTTATAACATCATTGTCAGTTTGTACCTTCTCTGAGGCACTTGTGTTTTGTTCAAAAGATGCTTTCTTGCTACGTGAGTGCTGGACCTGGTAAAGCAGCCAGATACAAACACCGACAAGTACACATATCTGAAGAGCATGCTTCACCTTGAAACCTTTATTTCTCTGTTGGTTTCTACGCGGCGAGTACTTGAACATGATGATATTCTTTTAAACCAACCACAGCTCTAAAAAAAGATCCAAAAAGAAGGTGCAATTTAGGGGCTTGTGCCAAAGAGAACCCACAAAAAACACTAAATTTAGCTTTACAGAATACTGACATTATAGCATGAGAATAACACCAAATTGGTATATCTAAACAAAACAAAACAACAATACTGCTTTACAGAGGCCATTGTAGACAATGTTAGACAATCAAATCGACTTAGTTAAACTAAAGATTGGTTACTTTCTGGATCTGAGTTACTACTACTTCCTTACTTTCATCCAGATCTAAACAGTGGCCGGAGGAGCTAACAAGATTCAACAACATATGTTGCAATAAGTTTGGCAGATGCCAATGAAAAAAGGTAAGGATTCAAGAAATTGGTCATATCAGATACACATGTCTGAATATTATCCTTGAATCAACAAGCAAGTTCTCAATCATTTATTCAACTCAAGATAACCCCCAACATGAGACACAAATAGGGAATCATTTTAGCACAATTCATTGAACAGTGGATGTGTTACACAATTTAAAATCAGGTTCTATTTTAACATAATGAAGGCGACCAAGCACATAAACTATTAATGAAGAGTGGCAGGCAATTGAAACTGCAACAATTGAAGCACATACAGATATACAAACACATTGTTTTCAAAAGATCTGCATTTGTCAATATGCGTAGAACAGCAAGGATAATATATCCTAACCAACTTTTCAAAACAACCTAAAAATTTGATATCTTTCCACAAAGCTAAAAGAGAAAATGGCATACCTGATACACTAATAGAAGGGAGTCTCTGAGTCTGGATGCAAGATCCCAATGGTAATGAAGTAAAAAGTTGGTAACTTTATAGGCAAATTTGGTCAATGATTAGAATAGAAGAAAAGGTGCAATAGTAAGATCCTTAAACCGCAAACTTAGTAATAATATAGCAATAATATGCTTCTAATACTGGAACCCCATTAACAATATTGTGTGAAAAAGGCAAAGGGAAAAATGGTTTAAGAGTTTTATGGGTGACAAGTAGTTTTTGTAGAGGTTGAATCAAGAACTATCAAAAGAGGTGAAGATGTGACCTTTTCTGTTTCCTTTTTTTAGTTTCAGATCAAGATCCAGTTTTTCTCACTTTATTTGGAAACCACACATAATTCCCCTCCTTTTGTATAATTTAAACATCTGTAGCGTTTACACTTTGAGATCTCTCCTCCTCATCTCCTAATTCTGCGAAAAACGACGTCGTTATAAGTAGTTAGGTTGTCGTTTAAGTGATTAAATTTTAGTGTAAAGCGGAGAAGCTGCCACGTGCCACCGAATGAAAAAAATAAGGCGGTCTGCGTCGGTGAACCGGTGACTCGGTGTTTATTTATTTTGTGATAAGAAAACAAACCGCTGAGTTAGAAATCAGCGAGTTTTGAAATCATGTTTTCGAAGTTTCTAACGACAGCGTTGCGGCGCACTGTGCCTAAACCCTGCCATGGCACCCGCCGTCTCCGCCCTTTCTCCACGGCGGCAGCGGCGGTTGGAGAACCGTATGAAGAGGATACTACGGGTATTACTATGAAAGGTGTGAAAATATCCGGCAGACCTCTATACCTAGATATGCAGGCAACTTCTCCGATGGATCCTAGGGTTCTTGACGCTATGCTTCCTTATCATATCTCCCGTTACGGAAATCCTCATTCCCGAACTCACTATTACGGGTGGGAATCGGATCAGGCCGTTGAGGCGGCCAGAGCCCAAGTCGCGACCCTAGTTAAAGCTTCTCCAAAGGAGATAATTTTCACCTCAGGTGCTACTGAGTCCAATAATATCTCCGTCAAGGGAGTTCTGCACTTCTATAAAGATAAGAAGCGACATGTTATTACTACTCAAACGGAGCACAAATGCGTTCTGGATTCTTGCCGTCACTTACAGCAAGAGGGCTTCGATGTAACTTACCTTCCCGTTGAGTCTGATGGACTTGTTGACCTGGAGAAGCTTCGGGCTGCAATAAGGCCTGATACGGGGTTGGTATCAGTTATGATGGTGAACAATGAAATTGGTGTGATTCAGCCTATGGAGGAAATTGGGAAAATTTGCAAAGAATTTAATGTTCCTTTTCATACTGATGCCGCACAAGCGTTGGGGAAGATTCCAATTGATGTGGAGAAGATGAACATAAGTTTGATGTCGTTAAGTGGGCATAAAATTTATGGGCCAAAAGGTGTTGGAGCTTTGTATATGAGGCGTAGGCCAAGGATTAGGGTTGAGCCCCAGATGAATGGGGGTGGACAAGAGAGAGGGATTAGGAGTGGGACAGTACCTACTCCGTTAGTGGTAGGGTTTGGGGCAGCTTGTGAACTTGCAATGAAGGAAATGGAATATGATGAGCAGAGGATTAAAGCTTTGCAGGAGAGGTTACTGAATGGTATAAGGTCCAAGATTGATGGGGTTGTTATAAATGGAAGTGTTGAAAGGCGTTATGCTGGGAACTTGAACTTATCTTTTGCATATGTGGAAGGTGAGAGCTTGTTGATGGGGCTGAAGGAGGTTGCAGTGTCAAGTGGAAGTGCGTGTACCAGTGCAAGTTTGGAGCCCTCCTATGTGTTGAGGGCGTTGGGAGTTGAAGAAGATATGGCCCATACATCAATTCGATATGGAATTGGGAGGTTTACTACTGAGCAAGAGATTGATCGTGCGGTAGATCTTACAGTCAAGCAGGTTGAGAAGTTGAGGGAAATGAGCCCACTCTATGAAATGGTTAAAGAGGGCATTGATATAAAGAGTATACAGTGGGCACAACATTAGATTGATTGTTACACGAGCATTTGGAATGAAGTCGATCGTCCAGGTTCTTGTTCAGAATATTTATTACATGTTCTTGAGCTTCAAGGCTATTTTTATGAGTTGAGTTTCTGCAATAAGATGTACTGTCGTCGACTGTAAGTTGACGCTGTAATTGTGTATGATATAGCCGTTGAGTTGCTTTAGTGACAGGATGTAGCATCTATTTTGGTAAAAATGATGGGTGTTTCTGCCCTTGGATTTTTGTTTCTAATATTCTGCTTGTGACCATTGAAATGCTTATATGATTTTGACCCAATTGTGTTTGCATGATTATGTTAGGAAAGTTTATGGTGTTTCTGATTATGTTAGGAAATAATTTTGGCTGTATTTACTGCATTCAATGATCTGCACTCGCGACCTCTACTATACACGTCAGGATATGAAAAGATTGGACGATTGCCTGTGACTATCTAGGACATATATCATCTTGTCGTGGTTTGAACTCTACAGGGTAATGTGCTTTGAGGAAAAATATCAAGGGTACGCAGAATGAAATTCGCTTGTACTCTTTGCCTATGCTGCCTTGCAGAATATGGGAGGGCACTTGCCTTGTTTCCCTCATTTCTGTTTGCTTGATGCCATCTTTGTTTAAGGTCCTTCCTTTCTAGTTAGTTTTGTCATCACAACTGAATGCTGTGAATTAGTGCTATCTGGTTATATGACAAATTAATCTGAAGGTTGCACATTTGAAGATTCCAAGATCTTATTCATGGCAATGAACACCTTAATTAGGGTATTGAATTCTATTTATTTTTTGTGTGTTCCTGCTATTTCGAAGCTCTTCATGATTGACGTTTTACAAGGGATTTTCTGGTACCACCCACATATTTGATGTCACGGGCTATTAGGGGAGTTCTTAGGATTTCCTTTTTTCAAGTCATTTCTGGGAGTCATGGAGAGACTGAGATTGATGGAATCATGGTCTATTTTACTACCTTCTCCCCCTTTCCTGTTAATCTTGTTTACCAAAAAGATTGTACTGTTAAATTTGTATGAGGTCATAGACAGCGTCTTAGTTTAACTCGTTAGGTTCGGTTATTAGCGGGATGATAATTAGTAAAAATGATATAATGATAACAAAGCAAATAAAAAGGTAGTTGTATGAAGCTTTTGAGCTTTGATGATGTGGGTGAGCACTGAATCCGGCATTGTTAGCGTCAATTCCGAGAACGACTTAGTGAAATCAATGCTATAAGACAAGGACTTAAGTGCTATAGATTACAAAGATTAAGCATAAGGCAATAAAAAGGCTCCACCCGAACCCTAGCGTACCATGACCAATGGATGATGTCTATGTGGAAATGTGTTAGTGGTGTTAATCAATATTCCTCTGTCGGGCTCAAGCTATTTGTATCTGTCCTTTTGGCTACGTCATCGAGGCATGAGTCCTTCTCTACTCTTCGGATCGCGTGCTTTTGGTTTGTTCCGATGATAACCATTCGTATGGCACTTGGAACTCTTTGAATGGCTCACTTCTCTGGTTTCACCTTACTTCTTTGGGCCTTCTTTGCTAATTCATCACATGTTCTCCACTCATACTGCCATGTACTCTGGCTAATTTTACCCAAATACACCATCGTCGGCAGCTGAGAAAAATAAAAAGCAAACAAAGAATTTTTAAGTAATGACATCTTCATCTGAATGAGAGTGATGAGAGAATATGTGAACCTTCTGCAGGGTTGTTGGAGGTTGTGCCTTCTTTCTTTTGGAGGCCATTTCTTAAACTTTGGAATATGCTTTTAGAGTCGAGACAATTGAAGTATTGTCGTGCTTATTTTGCACTTCGATTTCTGTTATTTCTAGTTGCTTCTTTAAGGAGTGATATCTTTGCCTTGTATTTCTCAATGAAATCATCCCTGTGCGAGCTTGTACTATCTTTCCTTGTACTGAGGCTAGTTGTCTATGAACGGTAGATGTAGTTTGGGCTGCTAGGGGGGAGTTTGGACTTTCAGTGATTCACAGTTTTTTATATTGCGTTAGTTGCATAATATTGGTGTTATTACTGGTCAAAATTGCTTAGTGGATTGTGTTTATGGTGCTGATTTTATTGATAGCATGCAAGGGGAAACACACTTCGGAGATGTTTGCTGGTGTACTGTTGCTGGATAAGAATTGGTTCTTAGATTAGTAGGTAAAATAAGGTACAACCGAAGGAGCACGAATCCTAAATTCTATTGGTAGTTTGTTGCTTCTAGCAGGCGACTTTTTCATCTTCTGTCGAGCTTTATAGGGCATTTATATGCTGTAAATTCAGAATACCAGATCCTGGTTTCTAGTGCTATTCTATATAGTTGTTACTTGTTAGTAAAGCTGAAATTTTTGACATGCCATGCATTTTGAAAGCATCCACTTGTGGGATTACACCAGTATGCTGTTATTGTGTATTGTGAAAGCACTTCCTTAGATCCTAATGATGTGTAATTGTTTTGTGACACTATTTTTCAACATGGCATCAAGAGTTTGCCTGACTGACCGTCAATGAAGTCGAAATGGGTTGTGTAGACTAGTGATTTGTAGCATGTCATGCGTTCAAATACTGCTTATTCTAGGAAGTGTTTTTTGTTGAAATGTTTTCTGAAAAAACTGTATTTGGAAGACTGGTTGAATGTGTTTGGTTTATCACTTTGAAAATCATTTGTCATATTAAAGGTGCAATGTGTGCTTGGTCAAAGCTTTCAGAAAGTGTTTTTAGGAGAAGATACTTCTTTCAGCTTTTTGAAGAACAACTTTTCTTTCTACCCAAAAACCTTATTTTCCCACTAAAGGTTTGGCCAATCACATTAGCTCTTAAAATAAGCACTTCTCCCTTTTAGAAGTTTGCCCAAGCAGAGCAATAGATCTCAGCAGACACGAAGGGATAATGCCATAATTAATGGATGACTTCTTTTGATCTTGCTTGGTCTTCGTAAATAGGATCATCAGTAACTGTGCTGGTGGTAAGCAAGGTGCATGTTAGATCAGTCGAGGTGCACCTTAGTTGGGCCGGTGCACAACATTAAAAAAAAAAGGGCTTTCTTTCAGCAATCAAAATATGATGCCTTTATGATGTCGTAGAAAATGCTGTTAATTGTGGTCGTTCTGTCTATTGAGGACTGCAGATTGGATCACTATATTGACTTGTGGTCTTTATGGTCTTGGATATATTTGGAGGCTTTCTGGGCCTCACAGCTACTATCTACGACGATCTTGAGGCTCCTGGTGGGGAGCAAGAAGAAATAAAATGATAGATCAACCAGAAATCTCTTGGGTTAAAACCAAATTCCCTCAAATATGTTACTGCACTGGTCACTTTCCCTTTTCACCTGTTTTATCCTTTGGATCTCAAGATACTACCGTGTTACTCCTATATGTGAATTTGTGCGTGGGTTTGCATGCTTATAGCTGGAAATTGAATGAAATTCAAAAATATGCGGAGGAGGACGAGACAATGCATAATAAGCTAGCATCACTTTTTCATTCAGATTTCGGGTTTGCATTCTTCGAAAAACTAATTTGTATCTACCTTCAAGCTGGGGTTGACAAAAGGCTGTTCTGTAGCCATCCTTTTCTGGAGTTCATTGATAAGAGGTATACATGTTATGATTTGATTGATCTCTGGAATTCTACAGTAGCATCACAAAATTAAATTAAAGAAAAGCATATAGAACAAAAAGGGCTTCGGGAATGACATATTCTTATCAAATATGGGTCGCAGCTTTTTATGGGTTTAAAAAGTTGGAAACAAACAGAAAAATAGAAGAGAATATCATGCTCATTCTTGATTAGCTCGGATGGATATGTGACATTTATTAAATTTGTATCTGTACATATGACTTGGTTTCTTGATATTACCATTTCATGCTAATTAGGAATAAAGTACATTAGGCTAAAACTTTTTGAATTACGTCATTTGGGTAATTGAATTTGATATTGATTGGTGAATTCGTGCAATTATACAACAAGATTGTTCTGGAAGTCAAAAAAGATTTAGTTACAGTCCGATCAAAATATCTTCAATTAGAGTAATTGGTACTAGAGTCTAATATCATGGAAGTGTCGTTGAACTTGTAGAAACTTCGAACTCTTCAATGGGGAACTTGAGATGATGATCAACTAACACATTTGTTTTATCGTTGAATTTAGCACCACGTAAGTAATTTACGGCTCTTGCAAGAAATTTGTACGCAGACGTCGTTCATAAAAGAGTGCAGGACGAGCTCTAATGAGAGTCATAAAAATGAAAAATATACAGTATAATTTTAGACGAAAAGGATTCAATTGTACCCTTTCCTCACGCAATTAACTTCACTGCAGAGGGTTCTGGCTGGGACAGTTGTGAGGAGAAAAGGTTTTGTTTGGGTAAGACGGACATTGAGGAAGTATTCAATGATGTGCAAGTGCAACAATGAATGTTTGGAGTACAGAATCAAATTAAATTCTGGGTCAGAAATTTAAATTTCTCGAAAATGATAGTATTGAGAAATTTGTGGTAAGAAAAGGAAAATATTTTAGCAGACCTGACCATCAAATAACAACAAATTTCAGATAAATTGTGCTCTCATAGGGATAAATGTTTCATAAAAACTACAGAACCTCGTTACTACCTGTGACCAGAATGTGAAATTTAAACAAAGGGAGACTAATAAATCCGTCCGTACTGGACTCGTTACTACTAGAAGGGTAAGTGAGACAAAGAAAATGTTAACATCATTAATGGTGCTCAAATTATTGGTATGAATATTTGTTAAGCATACATTGATCTCATGGAGGTGTCGAAAGGTTAAAATGTTAGCTATGATGTATTTAGTGTTGCACATTCTTAACATAACTGAGATAAAAACTTGCCCACTTCATTAAATTTTTGGTTTCGCCACTGATTGATCTCTTTGTGTAAGTATGTAATTAAGCATGAATGTCAGAGTAAGAACTCTCTACCTTGCTTGAATTAAAAGGAGAAAGATTGAAAATTTTGAAAATGGAGAACGTAATTAAATTATCCCATTGAGTACCTTATATCATTTGGATGAGTAAGTACAGTCAAACTTCTCTTTATACTGATATTGTTTGTTCGGACGTTTTTTTTACAAAACAAGTGAAAGGTTTGACCATTAGAATGGGAACTTCCTTCTTTTTTTTTAATCTCTCAGGAAAAGAGCTTTGGGTTTTGACAAAGCTGCAAACACTGTGTATGGAACAATTCAACGTTTGACATGTGCTAGCTTGCATAAGGTTCCAGAATACGGATACCGTCTTTAATAGTAGAAGTAAACAAATTACTCATATGGATAACTGCTTCATTTCCCCAAGAAAAAACCTGTGAGTATGATTTCTTCCAATTCACATAAAGTAACATCGATGGAGTCAGAAGACAACTAGAAAACTGATACACTAATTAATTCTCTTTCTTTTTTCATTTCACAACTTAAACACTTGCGTATAAAGATGATGAAAACATCATCTATTTTAGCTGTTTAAAAATGTAAATGTTGATACAAGGTACATGTAGTTAAAGTCAGAATGGTTGCATCCAGAATCCACATTAATATTCCAATAAATGTAAAAAAATATGGCCATATCATACCATACTATCAGCTTTTCAGTAGTAGCAGTAAACAATTTTAACCAAATCTTTCACCTGCCTACTCTTAGTTCTACTGCCTGATTTGTTAACAGGGTAAGGTCAATTATTACATATGCCCTTTTAGTAATCTCTACGGATTTATACATTTACTTTACTGCCAATTTGTACTTCACTTTTACACGCTCAAGAGATTCTTTCTCTTTTCTAAGGAAGCTTCACACTTAGCTTGCTCCTACTCAGATACATTACTAATACTAAAATTATTGAACTGCTACATTTATTGCCTTAAATCTGATTTTTGGGTAAAAGATATCCCCAACAGACATTCATTTGTAGTAGACTCTAGTTTTTAACCCGAATGGTCCATTAAATTTGAGGGTCGTTCCAATTTTATAGTCTGTTTGGCCGAGCTAAGCTTTTTTGGAGCCAAAAGTATTAATTTTTTGTCCAAAAAAAGTTATTTTAGAAACACTTTTAAAAGTTTGATCAAACATTAATTGTTGCTCATAAGTATTTTTAAAAACTATTGGTCAAACATAACTGCTTCTTACCCAAAGTACTATTGTATTTTGGAAAGCAATGTTGAAATAAACACTTTTCAAAATAAGTTAATTTTAGAAGCTTGGTCAAATGGGTTAATATTATATTTTCGAATTGATGAAATAACACAAAAAACATACTGTAAAAGTCTACACAAGAGAATTACCACAAAACTTACCGGGGAAAAAAAATAAGGTGGGCAAGAAGTCCTTGATCATGATTGTTATTTTACTTGGACACGGAAAAACATAATACACTTACGTTAGTTCTGTAAACTTGATACTCCAGTTCTTACGCATTTAAGGTACTAATAAAATAGGGACAAAAATAGACTTGGGCCCAAATTTAAGGGATTATTTGGGGTTAAAACTCAACTTACAAAACTAAACAAGAAAGTAGCAATGATTCATGTACAAGGTGACTACTTAGTTTGAGTTGTTGCTTAAGGATTGAAGATAAGATTTCCACATTTGCATTTCCAGCTCATTGGCTTGTAGTTTGAGTTGTCGCTGTCCCTTGCATAGGCAATGTTGTTGGACGCTTTCTTGTTGTTGCTGTTGATTGTGTGATTCTTATTTCCATTTGTAATTTGTGGATTTGTTGGAACCTGAATGGCTTCACAGTGACCGCAAGTACCACATCTTTTTTCACATCTAGGTGGCCTAGACCCAATTTGTGATCTCAACATTCCTCTCTTTTCACTCTCTATCTACGTACAACCCAAGAAAAATTATTACTATCAAACACTATTCTAATCAGAAAAAACGTAAACATTGTGCAAAATTTACCTGATTATCCCCATGATGACGGTGAGTATCAAGCAATTTTCTTCCTGCAAAATGAAAAATGAATTGGGGGTTCAATATTGAAATATTTTTTGCTGACTTTGTCCGTGTCAACAAACAATCTTTAAAGTTGCCTGTGCTAGTGTGTATGTGAAAGAGTACTCTGTTTTTTGTGAACAGAGGAGGTTAAGAAATATACCTTCAGCCTGGAATGTGAAGTGGGATAAGCTTGAAATAGTAAGAATAAGAAGTGAATATGTTAGACAGCGAAGTGTTTGATTCTGAGTACTCCAGCCCATTTCAAAATTCAATTGACTTGAAAGTGAATTTATCTCCTTTTACTTATAGGAGTTGTTGGAAAAAAGATAGATTTGATGAAACGAATCAAGAAAGTGAAAGGTGGTGGGGATGGAGATGTGAGGGAAGAGTTTAAAAGTAGATGATGAGTGATTGAATGAGTAGTTAATCAGATGTCGCCTTCTTCTGTAATTAGGAGTGTGATGGAACGTGGGGAAGACAGAAGAGGATGAGTATTGCAGAGGACTAGTTTGCCTTCAAGAGAAGAGCCTCAACAACTCCCCTCGTGCCATGAGCCACACCTTTCTGTTTCACTAAACAAAAATACGCACGGATGAATTAGAAACTCAACATATATAAAACAAACACACTATTCTTTCAACAATTCTTTATATACCATACTTGCTCCAACAAATAAAGATACATTGAATTTATACACTATGGAGTTAGTTTCGTTTGAATAAAGTTATGACATGGTAAGTTATGTTGAGATTAATTATAACGAGTTAAGTTATGTTGAGGATATTTCTTATTAAGTGTTTGGTTTGTTGCAATCAAAATAATATGCATTGCATTTATTTTAAAAACAAATTATTTGTTTATAAAAATACTCTTGTGAATGTAAAAAGTAATGTATAAAAAGTGTTTTGAAGGGATATCTTTGTCATTTAACTATTTTATCCCGCGATAAGTTATTCCGGCTTACTACATCACCCAAGGGGAGGCATAACTTACTACGGTACTAATTATTAATCCTGGTTTAAGTTATTCCGGACTTGCCTACCAAACAACAAATTGAGAGGCACTATAATTTAATCCCAAGACTATTTGGTGTTATCCTTCACACCAAACGATCCCTAAGGGATTGTTTGATTGGTACAGTAAGGATAATAATTCCGGTATATCTCATGAGATTATTTTATTCTACAATTTTAAGTAAAATTGTAGGAATAAGTTATTATCTCATATAAAAGGTAGATTAAATAATCTAATGAAATATCCTTATTTGTTCCAATATCATCAACCAAACGACTCCTAACAATATAAATTACATAAACTTTAAAAGAAAAGATTTGGTTGGTAATAAACTTTAGGCATAGATTATTTGTATTGAAACATTTGGTTGGTGTCAACTTAAAACTTGTGTTTGATTTAAAAAAGGATAGTTGTTTTTTCATTTAGAAGACGTTTTTATGTATAAAAAATCACGGTATTGTTATTCCATATTGGTGTTTATATGAAATATAATACACGCATCGATGTAAAAGTTCTACCCATATTAAATAAATTGAAATTAGTAACCAGATAAAACAACATAAATTTTTAAATCATGATTATTTCAGTAATACATAAACCATACGTATCCTTATTTTTTGTTTTTATGTTGCGAATTTATAACACTAGACAAAGGTTTAATGGCCTTTAATTAATAACTGAAATTAAAATCTTCGACATAAATAAGTACAACAATAGGAGCTAAGGCATACCTTAGTGTTATTAATTGATATAGTATAAAATACTAATTAATTTAATTATTGACTGTTTAGAAGTAGAGGCGAAGTGGAGTTTGAACCCACAACTCTAGCATGAAAAATATTTTCACAATCTTTTTCTAATCACTGAGTCATCAAACAGTTTTGTTAGAAGTTTCACAAATAAATATATATATATATATATATTTAATTTTTTAATACAAATACAGGATCTACGAAAAATTTATTGGATTGACACGGAGGAGATAACATATTAAAGTGTTAAAAAATAATAATTTTTGTAATAGGTGTATTTTCAGAAAAATCCAAAAAGCATAAAGCAAAAGAAGATAGGATAGTGTAAAGACGAGAAGAAGGGAAAAGTACAGCAAGAATCCACTAAAAAAGCCAAAAATACACTATAAGACACCTGAATATAGCTGTTACAATTATGGGGTTTTCGCTTTCAGAATTTTCTTAAACAGTGTGAGTATGTTTTGCCCATAGTAGGACGTTTCTTCTTCTGCTTCCTTTCACCCCAATCACACACTCCATTTTCCTCTTGTTAGAGTTGTGCATATATACCAATAAAGTAGATATTAGTTAGTATTTCATTTTTTTTTATCATGAGAAGGGAATAATAAATAGATTCTGTCATAACTTATTTAATTATATAAGTTATGTGAGATTCTAAATCGCTAACCAAAAATGTTAAATTTTATATATATAACAAAGAAATGCCACAAATTTTAATACATTACGCACCTGAATAAATTTGAATTTGCCAAATTTGTGCAGGTAAGTCCTACCGGAGGTAAAAATGCTTTATAACAAAAGCCACTTTGTACTAGTACAACTGAATTCACCAAACTCCTTGAATTGTGTAGTTCTATCGCTTTCCCAGATAGATAAAATTTATGTGCTACAGAAGGTTAGGTTCATTCATATCCAACCTCGAGGGCCCAAATCCTCATTATAGTTTTCAGTCTATGAATTATTAATTAGAAAAAATTGATAAAATGTCTATAGATTCAAAAAAAATTACCCAAGGTAACTTTATTAAAAATGATCATTCGGCACTTTTCAACAGCAAGCGAGCTTTCTTTTTTCTCTTCATTTATCAAAATTGTTTGTTCCTCTTTTACTTTGTGTTCATATTCTACCACGTAAATAAATTATTTTCATCACCAACTATTACCATGCTTTGCCTTTGGGTTGATCTTTAGCCAAGCACAACCTTTTCTTTACCTTGTTTTGTCTTTGCTTTAATTATCTCAATTGTTTTCATAACCAATTATTAGCCTCTAATGGTTGTCTACTTCTCTTTCTTTTTTCTAATATTTGTCCACTTCTGGTCGTTGAGCAAGATAAACTGTTGCAATGTATATATAATATACATAATTATATACTATTTATACAACATTTACGGCCGTTTTTGTTGTAATTTTTTTTGTTATTTGTACAGTTATGTTAGAAGCCCGGGAAAAAGCCCTCTTTTTGTAGATTTCTCTACATTTGTAGACCAAACTAATTCACACGTCTTATGTCCGAAAAGCCCATCTGCAGTTACCCTAAAAGAAAAGAAGCCTATCTGATCTTTTTTCTTTTATTTGCTTTCTTTACTCTACTCGTTATATGGCCCAACTTTTTTCTTCCCTTTGGTTTGTTTTGTTTAACTATCCAAAAGAAGTTTAGTAGTAGCATAAATAGATGTTCAATTTATAGTTCTCATATTTTTTTTATAGCAACTTTCACATATAGCAAACATAAAAATCATATTTGTATGTTATATCTATAGTTTGCATAATTGCGCTCCATAGCAAATTTTATGTTTGCTATGGAGCTTTTGATTTGTATAATTCGCTAGATACATCCAATTTTATACAAATTGTTCAATTTTGTATAAATTTATTTATACATTATAATTTGTATAATAAGATCTGTATTTGTATAATTATAAGCGTATAGGACAAAAATATATGTATTTATATTTGTATATACACTTTTCTCTCGCTTTATACAAACACAAATGCATTTTATATATCTATATACCAAATGGGTAATTGTATACCGAAAATGGCTAATTGTATACTGAATCAAATGGCAAAAAAAATGAGATATTTGTTGCGAATTACAAATAAAATAAACTATGACTATAGCATTTAATTTGAATTAATAATTTGCTATTTCATTCAATTTTCCCTTTTTTTAAACCATATATAATCGTCTACAACCATAATGTTTAATGTATGTGTTCGTGAAAATTCTAGAGTTTGATAAATATGTTTCATAGCTACAACATTCATGCACTTGCTTCCTTAAGTTGCCGTCTTACATTTTTGGGTCAATTTCACGTTTAACTACTGAATTTTATTCACTATAACAGTAACGACGTAACAAGTATTTTTTTTAATTACATTAGAGTTACATAATTTTACCCACTACAGTAATCAAGTCACAAAATAATTATTTTTTTCCCATTAAAATTACTTAACTATAATGTCTGTGAAAATGTATTTCTTAGAAAGTACATTGGCAAAGAAATGAATCAATTACCCCCACCCACTAACACCTAATTCAAGAGGAGAACATTTCAAAAAGGATATGGACTTGATTGTTTTGTTAATGGGCCATATATTTCCTTTGATTGAAACAAGAGACCAAACAGAGAATGTATACGACAATATACATAAAAAAGCAAAGGCTTTACGGCCCATCGGCCCACTCATTGTCCACAAATATTAGAGTTTGTCTTGGATCATTTCATTCAATCATAAGATTTTGAAGCCTAAAAGTGGACAGATCCAATTGTATACCAATGCTCATTAAATCACAATGATTAATTCGAATTTATTGGGTTAAGAGTTTGAAATGTGTCTCTGTCAAATTTGGAGTCATTGTAGCCACAGGGACGTTTAGTTGTAGAAATTTGGGTTAAAATTTAATGGCAATAATGGAGGGGCTGCAAATTGCAAGGCCCAGAAGGCAGACACAACTGCAGAAGATCTAGTAGACCTTCAATGAAGTGAGCCTACTCAATATCATACACTATTAGAGATATTTTTTAGTATTAGAGTAAATGAGTCCATTACCTATAACACGTAAACGATGTTGACAAGGTACCTATTATTTTACCAATAATACCATTTATTTTGACACTTCATTCTTTGCTTTCAATTCCCATCGTGTGCTATCATCTTTAATTTCTTAATTTTCTAAATTGATACCTACTTATTTTTGGCCTATGTGGTAGGAAAAGATCGAATAACAATTTATATCATGATAGTTTTCATAGATATAAAGACGGATTCATAATTTAAATTCGACCTTAAAGAAATAACTTTGTTAGATAGTGAAAGAAATCCTTACTAATAAGCAGTAGTAGGGTAAGTGAACATTAAAACCTGTCTAAAAGCCTACAGACAAAACTTAATCTCTAGAGATTTCTTTTAAGTTCAGGTCAGCCCTACAAGCAAGAAAAAAGAAGTGAGAGGGATTGTTATTCGTGACTTGTCTATTTAATGGATGTAAATTTACCAATGGCCAAAAAGTTATAAAGATAAATAATGTTGTAGCAAAAAATAGATTAATTAGCTCTATAAGTTACACATAAAGTAAATGTCCTGAAAATTTATATCACATCCAAAAATAGGATACAAGTCTCCAATTTCAGTACCTTCAGTTGTCATTTGCGATTGTAACAGTGATTAAGAAATGGTACCGTTGTTAGGGCACAAAATTTTAACAAAAACATGGTCGGTTTTTGATATCTAATACAATAATGCCACGTGGAACTCGGTGTTTGGTTATTGAAAAATAATTCCATAAGATTTTTCCAGCTCTACAGTTCAATTTGAATAGCGATCCTGTTGTGTTATACTCTCCAATTTGATAAATTCCAGTCATCAATTAATGAAGATAAATTAAGAATAGTACTAAAATAATTGGTGGTCCTATAACTGTGTGTCAATTGGCTTATTTGTGTGTAGTAAATTCATATGTGGCCTACACACAAATGCAATCCCAAGTAAAAGCCAGATAAGCGCCTTAATGCGGGCCAATTTTTACCGATCTGCCGTCAAGTTTCGTGGACACCCGATGGCGGCAACTGTCGAGAGATTGGGACCGCACTAATACTCTGCAAAAATTACTCATGGTTTTTTACTCGAAAAAATTACGCAATAAAGACCGTTCTTAAAATTTAATTACATTTTTAATATCATAAAAATAAACTTTATTTTGTATTTTTTTTTTAAAAAAAATAGCGGTCGGAAAGGAAAATACGAGGGGAAATTACTATGAGAAAACAAACCCTCATCACTAAGGTGAAAGTTCAGATAGTCAACTAGCTAAAACTATTAGTAAGATTTTCCTTTATATTTGTTTGGATAGAGTTGAAATGCAAAAATATCACCCTTCCCAACGATTTGTGACTTAAAATAAATTTTAGATTAACATTATCAATATGGTAGACTACTCAAAATTCAAAATTATATATATGCAAAAAGTTTGATTCCTTTTTTTGTGATACTTATTTCGATTCAATTATCATTCCACGATATAACTTCATTACAAGGAGATTCAATCAAAACATATGGCTCCTCCACTGGGCATCACCTCATTTTTCTGTGGCGCCACACATAAACACAAACATACCCTTGTATGTTTGGTACAATGTAAAATGCTTATCACGAGAGTGTCTTACTTTTGGAAATCATTTTTAGTTATCATTTTTTAATGTTTGCTTGAGTATCAAATAAGATGATGTTTGGTAATTGTACAAAGTGAGCAATAATTCATCAAGATAATGATTTGGTGATATTTAAAAGTATCGAAAGCTACCCAAATTTTGAGTCCTGATTGAAGCAACAATGAATTAAAAAATAAAACGTGTTAATAGGAAATTGATTTTCATTCTTAAGTGAAGATATCATTTTTACAATTTTTATATAAAAATAATTTATATAATTCAGTAGTATACATTTAATTAATTGGGCGATACTTCTTTTTTTTTGAGAAAAATTATATGAGCTACACCACCTGCTAAATAAAAAAAGCAGCAACCAAACAATAAACCCAACAATTCCACCGATCACCATCTTGACGGTGTGAGTGTTTTTAGGTAAAAATCGTCCAAGCTCGATTCAAGTTAAAAAATATCATATTCATATCATATTAAGAAATATCGTTTGATTGTTTTAGCCTAACAATTGATATTTGAGTCTTCTCCTTTTCAAATTATTGCTTATATTGTTTACGTTTCAAATGCCGAATTCTAAATATGTGGAGGTGTTGAATCCTACATCGATTGTGAGATGAAAAACTAGATCTCCTCCATATAAATAATTAATATTGGGCAATTCTCACTTCACAAGAATGACTTGGGCGCATCACCATTTTTTAATCACTATCATATCAAACACACCTTTTTAGAAGTCTTCAAAATGAGTAATAAAGCACAATTTGTCATCCATACATAGAGTGCACCTAGCTAGATGTTCTTTGTGGCACCTAAATCCTAATGTTGTAATAATAGAAGTTGTTATTTGATGACAAAAGACTCTACTCTTAATAAAAGTGATAGAGACACCATTCAAAGAGAGATTGTCTTTGATCGATGAATATTACTATCAACACGCTGTTTGAAAAATAAAGAATATACTACTAAAAGAATGAAAATATTTGAAAGTTTAAATTATGCTTGAATATAAATTTCCTCCTATTTAAAAAAGGTTGATTTTTTTAATTAATATAAGCAAATAACATTCTTTGTTGTTGTATTTGCAAATAATGAAATTGATACCGAGTACATCGATCCCAATTAGGGCTTGAAGAAGTCAAAAGTCATTTATAAAAAGTAATTAGAAGACCGTAGATTAGATATGACATCTGGCTTAGTAGCTACAAATTACAATAAACATGAAAGGAAAAATATGGTGAAGCCCTATAAATATGATGATATGAGGTATGACAGAAGAAGTGAGAGAATTATTCTGGATTAATTGATCATCCATCAATAGTAGGGTTTGGCATAGAGAGAGGGTCCACTGACGGCTTGCTATTAGCTGTAATATGAAAGAAAAAAAATATATCGAATTTCCTATCGTCGTTTTCTTCTATATTTACTCATAAATAAACCTCACAAACTTCCACACTATCACCACAACATCCAATTGTATATTTAGAAAAAACAATGGCCACATTGACTTCCTCTTCCTTAAAATATTCAGCTTTTGTTCTAATAGTGCTATATGCCTTGACCTTTTCATTCTCACTAGTAAGTGCACGACCCGCCACTTTTTTACAGGATTTTAAAATCGCATGGTCTGACTCTCACATCAAACAACTCGATGGCGGCAGGGGAATTCAACTTATTCTCGACCAAAATTCAGGTATCATCCTTTTTACCTTTTTTGAAACTTTATTCACAATTTTATTTTTTAATATTTTTAGCACACTGAATTCATTTAGGAATAATTTTTAATATATACATACTTGATAGTGAAAATTATTAAACCCGTAGTCAAAAGGCTCTCTAGGTATTTGTGTAATGCTCATGCATGATTGATGATTGGTACTTTGCATTTAGGATGTGGATTTGCTTCGAGAAGCAAATACCTGTTTGGACGTGTTAGCATGAAGATCAAGCTCGTTCCTGGTGACTCTGCAGGAACCGTTACTGCCTTTTACGTAAGTGTATATATATAAATTAAATCGGACGAGAGTAGTTAGTTATTATTCATTAATTTGATATTTCTAGACATGCCTTAATTTCTTTTGCAGATGAACTCGGACACAGATACCGTAAGAGACGAACTTGACTTCGAATTCTTGGGAAACCGGACAGGGCAGCCGTACACTGTTCAGACGAATGTTTATGTCCATGGAAAAGGTGACAAGGAACAAAGGGTTAACCTTTGGTTTGATCCATCCGCTGATTTTCACACCTACACCATTTTTTGGAACCACCATCAAGCCGTGTAAGTACATATATAATATATATAGGTCATGTTTAAGTTTACGAGATTGATTGTACATTATTTCATGACCACAATTTTTAAAAATAAAACGGAGGGATACAATTTAATTAACTTGTTAGAGTATAACATGTAAGTTAGTGTTTTCACTACGTACGTACGGACAATTGATTAATGTCTATCCTGTAATTAACCAAGTATATATATTGACTAAATATTTTTGTAGTAGTACTTAATTGTTTGTAAACTTGAAGGTTCTCCGTGGACGGAATACCCATTAGAGTGTACAAGAACAACGAAGCAAAAGGAATCCCATTCCCCAAATTCCAACCCATGGGTGTTTACTCAACATTGTGGGAAGCTGACGACTGGGCTACAAGGGGTGGCTTAGAGAAAATAAATTGGAGCAAATCCCCATTTTACGCATATTACAAGGATTTTGACATAGAAGGATGTGCAATGCCAGGACCAGCAAATTGTGCCTCGAACCCAAGTAATTGGTGGGAAGGACCTGCTTATCAGCAACTCAGCCCCGTACAAGCAAGGCAATATCGTTGGGTTCGAATGAACCATATGATCTATGATTATTGCACCGACAAATCCAGAAACCCCGTTCCACCACCAGAATGTAGGGCCGGAATATGAAACTTTTCCTTAATTGTGTATACATAAGGGGCGAAATGAAATATGTGCCCATTGATATGGACAGTCACGCTTATGTCTTATCAATGCTCCGTTGTTATATGTACTAATGAGTGGCCTAAAGTCAAATGTCGTTTTATTGCTGTAATATATTGTTTATTGCATGTATATGTATTGTACACTGTAAGAGAGCCAATAATTAATGTTTCTTCTTGTTTGATTGAGATATTAGTAATGTGATGTATGTTTCTTCGTCTTTTGTCTAAATGATTTTCAACCTCAAAACTCAATAGTAAAGTAAAGCTACTCATCAAGTAATTGTAAACGTACCTCGCTCTTCTTATTACTCTTGCTTCTTATGTATAATATGATAACTTCACAGTTTATTATCGATCGGCGTGTTGAAAAAATTGTCGAAAACTTTAAACTTTTTGGCGATTCTATCGAAATTCCCTATAGTGTCGGTAATACATATATGTATGAACTTTAATTTGTTAGATGGTCAAATCTGTCTAGCAGTACTGGGAGGGTAATTGAATGTTGCCTAAAAGTGCCAAAATACTAACCTTATCTGTATTGAGGAACCGCAGGTTTTCTATCAGCTCATATATAGTTGAATAGTAACTCTAGTTTTAGCTTTTGTCAATATTATTTTGGCGTAATCTTCGAGGAATTTATTTTTTTATCTCTATTAACACATGTGAAATTACTTTTAGTCGGCTTAAAGTTGGTATTATATATTATTAGACATTTGATCAGGTGATTGGTTGAAGTGTACCAGACGATAGCATTATGAGGAAGAGCTCATATAACATTAACACGGACTGGAAAAGTTATCATTTTGAAGGGCAAAAGTTACTATTACTAGCTTTCATCAATCAATTAATTGTCCTTCAAGTAGTATCATTAGCGTACTATTATAAACAATCAACCACATGGTTAGAAGCTTAAAATTCAGTAAAAATGGTCAGTTCATGACACCACCCTTCTTCGAAAAATTAAACTTTCCCGTGGTTACAAATTACCTTTCCAGCAACTCTTTGGCCCACTGACCCAATAGTCGTAATTTGGTCAGTTCCATTTGTAAGCCGAAACTGTACTTTTTCTTATCAAGCAATCCTCCAGTAATGCTTCTCCCCGGCAACAGTGCTTATGGGCATTTTATGTGTCTCAAATTCTCATTGAAATGTACCTCGATGGGGGGCCATGCTGACTGTGTTTACATTCGCCATAAAAAGAAAAGCTTGGACAGCCAATGGCCTATGGCAGAAATAACGATTGGGACAGCATTAACTTTCCAACTCAGACTGATACTTCTATTTGTGTCGAGAGGCTTTTTGTTTGTGGCTCCAATGAGACACAAAGCTATCACACAGGCTCATTTGGTTTACCGTACAGTTATCAGAATGCATCAATTATATATATGGTATGGAGACTTATATATATTGAATAATACTAATAAAAACACGTAAGTATTGTTAATGTATAGGTTGTTAAGCGATGGAATACTAAAATATAGATTGTTAGTTGTTACATAGGAACTGTATAATTAAGGACATTTTTATCTTTAGATATGCTTGTTATGTAGTCTTAAATCTTAATTATATTCACATATAAATAATATCTACACTTTATTATAGAAACAGAAAAATAATCAAAACTAACCTTAAACTATTCAAAATAGCTCATATTTACCTTCAGTTTGCTTTTCATACCAAAATAAATAAATACCGTGGACATGTATTTCTTGGACCACAATCCACAAATGCCATTAAACTAATGGATATCCACACGAGCCCTTCAAATAAGATATTTGATTATAGGCGTAAGAACATAGGTAAAAAATTGCACCACATGTATTATATGTAATACTATATTTGTGTATGAAATATACATCAAATTTTCTATGTGCGATTTTCTTCCCAAAATTAGTTTTCTATGTAAAATTCCTAGAATACGTAAATGAGATGTGTGTTGTAATTGTATGTATGAAATGTGTAAATAATTTGTGTTCAATAGCATTAGAAAGCTTTTGATTAATGAGACGTGTATTAAATATTTATGAGAAGTGACCTGCGTAGTTTTGAGATATTTGTGGTCACTTTGTGTATCAGCATAAATTATATAGTACAGTTTTAAAAAATATTGAAAACTCATGTGTATGTAATTTGTATGTATGAATTCTAATTTATTTCATTTTTGAGATATGTGTGGTTAAATGAATATCAAAATGTGTATAATTAAATTCCTTATATAATAGTCTTAAAAATATCGAAAAGTGAACCTTGTTTAATAACTGATTTGTGTCAATTGAGATTAAATATGTATATAAAATGTGTATAACTAAGCAATTTTTGAACCCGACTATATGTATATAGAAAACCTCCAGAGGAAGAACAGAATGAGTCTAGGAGAAGTGGCTTCTATCTTGACAAGTTATATCCTCAACAAACTTTAGGTCCTCAACCTACTTATATATATATAACTTATAAACAATATATAATGCATGATTGGTCATCCATCCAAACGATAGGTACATGTACCCCAATGTTATTTATGACAATAACACTATTGCCTAATGAAGTTTGTTAGTTGATAATTAAATATCCTACTCTAAATGCATTAGATAGAGACCCCCTTCAAATTAAACACCGAACAACAAAAACGGAGAAAAATAAAAGCAAAAATATGAAAATGAAGAAAGTAAATTATCAGTGTTTAAGTGTGCCCTTAATTTCATCATTAATTATATTACCTTCCCAGGGACCATAAACCGTTGAATACAACTTTAACAAATCAGGACATTTAACTGCAACAGTACTAAAGCTAAATATTTGGATACATATCAATCCTTCCGTTCAACAATAGTTGTCCACTATACTATTTTGGAATGTTCAACAATATTTGTCCACTTTGAATAATTTTTACACTTAGTTCCTAATTTACCCTTATAATTAATTATAGTTATTTCTCTATTACATTTTTCAAAACATTGTATTTATTAGAGAAAATAGTCAAATGCCCCCCTAAACTATTAGTCAATTCTCAACGACACACTTATACTTCACGGGGGTCCTATTACCCCCCTGAACTTTTTATTTTCGATATTTGGTGACCCCTAAACGCTGACCTGTCCAAGAAGGTGAATACACCTCTTGTAGGCGCGTAAGGGTTCAACAAAAAGACATAAAATGACTAAAATTGAACTAAATAAATTGATACTAGAGAAATAAAATAAAAATATTATAATGAAAACAAACAAAGAAATTGAAACTTGGTAAGAGTTGACGCATTGGAATTTGACTCATTGTTTAGCTTATCTTGATCCAGCTCAACTAGCTTTTGAACGGAGTTGGACAATCACCAATCTATTGATTCAGCTCATTTTATTTCAGTTCAAACCGTCCATTTATCAGGTCTAGTCTATTATCTGAACACATAAACTACAATTAATTGCTAGCTTATTACAGGATTTAAAAATAACTTGGTCTGACTCTCACGTGAAACAAATCGATGCAACTCAGCTTGTTCGTATTTCCACTTTCTCGTGATCGTTGTGTTTAAACTCATGTGTAAATGAAATGTCCTTAATTGTCTTTTGATTTTAGTATGTTGATTTGCTTCCAAAAGCAAATACTTGTTTGGACGTGTTAGCATGAAGATAAAGCTCGAACCGTCACTGCCTTTAATTTAATGCAAGTGTAATTAACTACCACTAGATTTTATTTCTTGGGGGGAAAATAAAGAAAATGAAAACAAGTACAATAATGTAAAATAGTTTACACTATCTACAGATTTTAACTAGCTATATATAACAGATTATTTACTCTATTTATAGACAGTTATAAATAATTGATGGTGTAAAAAATACTACTATATTACAAGGACTTTGACATTGAAGGATGTGCAATGCTAGGACCAGCAAATTGTGCCTCGAACCCAAGCAATTGGTGGAAGGACCTAACTACCAACAACTTAATGCTGTGGAGCAAGGCGATACCGTTGGGAACCATATGTCTATGATTATTGCACTGACAAATCGTGTAATCCCATTACCCCACCTGAGTGAGTGAGTAGACGGAATTTGAAGCCTCGATCAAGTGTTTTTGTTATTTATACATATTAAATGTTGCATATATAGCCGAATAAGTGTATTTCGGATATCTAATATATAAAATGAAAAAAAAAATGTTACAGACCCTATGTATTTATGTGTTATGTATGTCCCTACCTAAGGTGTACGAAGGGGAAGAGAGAGTGAAAAAGATTGTAGTATTTATAATTTGTGTTGATATATGGTCATGGGACGCATATAGATGATAGTTCCGTTTTGTTGTGAATTGTGAATTTGAGAGTAAAGTGTAGGCAAAAGTTAAATGTCATTTTATTGCTTTAATTGATATTGTCGATCTGTATTTGGCTATTTGCTGTAAATACGAGAGTCAATAGTGTTTGATTGAAAATATACATTTGAAAATATACATTTGGATATTATCTACTGGTTGAACCTCAAATTAAGGCTACTTGACATGTCATCGTGTCCTCACGTACTCATTGTTGCTCTTTCTTGATCGATGACATCGATCGTACGTGTCTTGTTTTCTTTTGCCAACTGACCAATAGAGACAATACAAACTAAGAAAAGTCTAAGAATAAGTGGGCCCCACATTTAAATTTATTTTACAGGCCCACTTATTTCAACCTTTATATACCATTCATATTTATGAATTGCGAAAAAACAACAAATTTCTTGTCAATTCGACAAGTTCAGAAATAGAAAGGAAAATAAACTAAGAAGACCGATGACAACATTATATTACTGCCTGCTAAATTATCTTGATCAATATGTAGTAGTTTCATTAATTCATTTTTCTTAAATATATAATCGTAAGGTGTAACCCATCACTTTGTTTGATTAATGATTTTCATGTGTAAAAAGTATTAATTGTACCTAAATGCTTATTATCTGGTGATACTGCTAGTCATAATTCCACATGCTAATATATCTAGTAAACCAACCAAACAACTTTCTCAGTATAGAAAAATTATATTACTATTTTTTACAGAATTAATTAGTAGACTTGTAGTTCTGTTCAAGAGCTATTAATTTAACTTCTGCATAACAGAAGTCTCAACCATAGGCATAATGATGAGGATTTCTAAAGCTAAATATGAAAAATTATAATGTAGCACCAAAATTTAATAAAAGTCTTTATAAATTTCTCGTCAAACAACATAGAAGTATTTGCTTTTCCAGTTGCAAAATT